TTGTCACCCGTGAGGACTAGGATGGAGTGCCTCGTTTCCAGTAAAAAGGGCCTCCGGCCACCTGCACTCACCAAGCGAAACGCAGAGGTAAACCTGTACTTAACGCTGGTATTCTGTGAGGTCGTGGTACCGTGGACTAAGAAGGAATGCCTCATTTCCAGTAAAAAGGGCCTCCGGCCACCTGCACTCACCAAGCGAAACGCAAAGGTAAACTTCTACTTCACGCTGGTATTCTGTGAGGTCGTGGTACCACCCCGGTTCGAGCCGGCCCATCCGTGCGACAGCAAAAGTCGCCACGTGGCTCTACCACTGTTAATATATTCCTGTTAAGTGTGGAAATTTTAAAAATATTACGGTTGATAAAAGGTAACCTGTCTTTTGGCCAGCTTAGATTATTAAAGATAAAAGCATGTTCAGCGGTGGGGCCTAAATATAATTGTGCTATAATTTTAAATAATATTATTTTTTTTTTTTAAATTGGGAGGATCTATGATGCAATCTATGGGGGAGGCCTATGTACAGCAGTTGACTTTTATTAGGCTCAGACGGTATTTTTTAAATAAAACTGAAGTAACAAACGAACTACAGTCTACCCGATGGTAAGTGGCTACTGTAGTCTACTGACACTTGCAACCAACTTCAAACAAAAAAGCTACAGATGCGCTGTCACCTCTAAAAATTAATTTCTGTGAACAGCCTGTTACTATACTTGCTCTCCATACCCTTCAGATCTACCTAACCTACTTGTTATTTGACGGGAGAAATAGGTAAAAGTATGGTACCTGCCCAAACGGACTTCTAGGCAGTCCTATCACCTAGTAAAAATAAATTTTATATGTATTTTTAAAAGTATGTTTTTATCGCTTCACACTAATTTAGTTTTTTTTTTAAATACTAGTAATGCTTTAAACGTTACTAATATTAACTTTAACCACTTCTGGTAAGCTTAAAATGCTTGTGTTAAAAGTGGTTCACGACAGTAGTCGAATGGCGGATTCGAACCCACGACCTTTCGGGTTCGCGGTCCGCGCCCTGCCATTAGGCTACTGACGATTTATTTTTTATTTCAAATTAATTTTATTTTCTATTCCAAATTAATTATTAAATGTTCGTTGTGTTCGTCATCACTCCATAAAAGTCCAGTGTTGACATCTCTTCCGTTATAACTAGCCTTAATCGTCACCGAACCTCTTGCACTTATGAACTCTGTCACCCGTCAAAGTCTCTGAGTATTATTACGATTCAAGTTAATGCAACGATTTTACCGCCACCTACCGGAAGATAAAATATTTTAGCATATCCCATAGTCGCTTTTCACGACACCCATGGAACGAAATGAATGTGGTGATGGATTCTTTTACGTTTTATTTACTTCCCGTTTTTGAAACTCGCCATCTTTGAAAAATAAATAGGGATAAAGAGAGCCCCTATAAGTAGAGCAAGTGGAAACTAAAAAGAGTTTTATTGTGTTTATGCGAACTGATTCCAGCAGTGTAAACTAACCTTTCCTATTTCCAGACGATAAAATTTTATATTTGTTCAACTTGTCACTTTTATAAAACCAAAATGAATAGAAAACAATGATGGAATAATCCAACTCCCAATTTCTTTATATCACATATATAGTATTTTCGAGGCTTACCTGTAAATATACCTGTTTAAAGTAGACGGCCAAATAAATTATTAAGACAAAGAGCAATTTTCAAATAAGTATTTAGTTTGTAATGTTACTGCTTATACACGTCCCACACACGGGCATAAACCTTCTATCATTTTTGATAGGGTTATGAAGCAATTAGTCCGGTCCTTATTAGCGGACTTGGCATGTACGCTATACATAGTGTAATATCATCTCACAAGGTACTGACATATTTAAATGCAGTCAGACTAAATTTATAATTGCAGCATACAAATGGTTAAAAATTGTAATTTCTATTATTCATGTTTCATATATAATCAGGTAACTTTTAATTTTTTAGTAAAAAAAAAAAATCATTGTTGCTTAGAGAATCTCATATAAGGACATTTTTTAAAAACAATACATTTTTGTGAGCTATATTGATTCAGATTTACTTCTAAACCTACCATTGTCGTTACCTCGTTGTACCTGAGTTCACAGGCTCGGGTTTTGTAATGGAATACCGACTGGAGCCAACATTTTCGCAAAACAAACATAAATGTTGGTTTTCGGATCCTAATTTATGGGTTCCCGTGTCTTTGAGCCTACAGCTTGGCCTAACTATGATTCTATATATGTGCAGTTACCGCGTTGTGATGAATACAGACAGGTGAGGAAGATTTTTCTTCCCCAAGGAGGACGATAAATCAAAATGACAAAATACTGCAGAGTTGGCAGAAGGCAACATTTTCACGCGAATCTTGACTAATTCATTTTATATAGTTATAGAATAGAATAAAATAGAATAGAATAGAATAGAATAGAACAGAATAGAATAGAATGGAATGGAATAGATTGGAATAGAATAGAAGAGAATAGAGTAGACTAGAGTAGAATAGAGTAGAATAGAGTAGAATAGAGTAGAATAGAGTAGAATAGAGTAGAATAGACTAGAATATAGTAGAATATAGTAGAATAGAGTGGAATAGAGTAGAATAGAGTAGAGTGGATTAGGGTAGAGTAGAGTAGAATAGAGTACAGTAGAGTAGAGTACAGTAGAGTAGAGTAGAGTAGATTAGAGTAGAGTAGAGTAGAGTAGAGTAGAGTAGAGTAGAGTAGAGTAGAATAGAGTAGAGTAGAGTAGAATAGAATAGAATAGAATAGAATAGAATAGAATAGAATAGAATAGAATAGAATAGAATGAATAATTTTTTTATTTAATATATATCACATGTGTAATTCTTATTGAAAGTCATTTTTAGAAGAACCAGCAAGAAACCCAGAGGGACTTTTGTTTTTATAAGCAAATTTTATATTAATCGTTGTACAAACTAATAAGTACAAAATTTATTTTATAAACAGCTTGGAAGCGACCACGTCATATTATTGCATACGACTGCCCTAGAAGGAAGGTAATGTTCGTCGAGAGTACGTTATGTATGTATGTCTATTTCTTATTATTTTTTTTAAAAACATTATCCCCACACTAGCATTTTCTCCTGTATCGTGGAGACAGTTTACAAACATAAATTGCACGAGGACAAACATCCAGACCCAGAACAATTGTTTGTAGGCCATACAAATATTTTTTTCTGTCCGGAATTCAAAACCGCGGCCCCAGCGCAACAACTCATTGATAACCCACTGCGCCACGGAGCCGTCATATATTTCTTTGGCACGCTCTCTAGCCTAAACAGTTTGATGGATGGATGGACATAGGTAGTGTCGTTATATTTGTCTTCATTGTGAGAGTGACAAAATAATAATTATACATTGCAACTGTAATTAATTTTAATTACTACATATTTGAACCATTAAGCTTCTTTTCTATTTTATTCATATAAGTGTGAGTTTATGTTTGTCCATATTGTATTTTATCTTATGAACAAATTTTATTGGATGATTGAAAAATCGGCTCATGTTATAAATTTGCGAAAAGTAATGCCTAATCCTTTTTTATTATCAAACAATCACTTATTATGTATGAACTGCGAACGTAAGAATTTAATAAATGTTCAATATTTATTATTATTTCCACCATCAGGTTTTAACGGAAACGTTTACACCGTAGATGCACAGACCGCGGCCCGCGGCACACGAAGCTTCTAGAGTCGGTTTCGTGATTTCTCCAGACAGTTTTCGACTCTATACGCACGGTATAAAAGCGACGCTAACCGCAGCGACAGACAGTTCGGTTTTAATTTGAGTGAAGTGTCAATAGTTCTAGTGTAGATTTTAACTCGACTAGCCGGTGTGATATATGTATATTTTGATCCACGTTCAACGTAGATTTCCCGTCAAGTGCCGTGTATAATTGTGTTGTGAAATCGTAAGTAAAACTCTGTTATTAATAAGTGTTTCCCTACCTATTTAATCAATTATTTTTGGTAATTTAAAAAAGGATGGGTAATTTAAGTAGGTACTGTAATTGTTTTTAGGTGCTGTGTTAATCCTAGCCAGGATTAGAACGCAACATGGACAAGCCAGGACCTAGTAAAAAACGTAAGGTTAAAGATGAAAATCGGAAGTTTCAAGAAATTGGGACTGAGAAATACTATTTTGTATGGTCGCATAACAAAGTCGTTTGTTTAATTTGCAAGAATTCTGTTGCGATTGCAAAGTAATATAATGTAAAAAGGCACTATGAAACGCTTCATTCTACTTTTACCAAGTTTACAGGTGAATTAAGAAAGCAAAAAATGTTGTCTTTAAAACGGGAGCTTATTGATCAGCAAACTATGTTTACAAAACCCATTCAAGATTCAGTAACAGCTATAGAAGTTAGTTATGAAATTTCTCGAATGATAGCAAAGCGAAGTCGCCCCTTCAATGATGGGGATTTTGTAAAATAATGCATAGAAATTGCCGCTAAGAAAATGTGTCCAGAAGCAGCAAAAAAGTTTGAGAAAATTCAACTGAATTTTATGACTATCCAAAGACGAATTATGTCTTTGTCAGGTAATATTGCGGAACAATTAAATGAAAAAACTAAGATCATTGAATTTTTTTCATTAGTACTCGACGAATCCACTGATATTAGTTCCACAGCTCAACTTCTGATATTCATACGAGGTGTTACTCAAGATTTTGAAATCTTAGAAGAGTTATTAGGAATGTGTTCATTGAAAGGTCAAACCAGAGGAGTTGATATACTCAATGTACTTTTGGATGAGTGTTCAAAAACTGATTTGGACTTATCAAAATTATCGGGAGTTGTGACTGACGGTGCTCCTTCGATGATTGGTGTCAATTCTGGGCTAATTACTTTGCTGAAAAAGCATCTGCAAGAAAAAAACATAAACGCTGAAGATCTCATGCAGTTTCACTGCATTATACACCAAGAAGCACTCTGTTCTAAAAAAAAAATGAACTTCAAAATGTCATGAAAGTGGTAGTTTCGACTGTAAATTTCATAAAATCACGAGGACTCAATCACAGGCAATTCAAACAATTCCTTGATGACATCGAAAGCGAATATGGAGATTTACTGTATTATACAGAAGTAAGGTGGCTAAGCCGTGGATTGACACTGGAACGATTTCTAAATTTAATAGAAGAAATTGGAATATTTCTGGCGGAAAAGCAAAGGGATGTCCCGGAACTTAAAAATCCTGATTGGTTGTGTGATTTGGCTTTTTTAGTTGATATTACAAATCATTTGAATGTCTTGAACACACGGCTTCAAGGCAAAAATCAACTGATATCCCAGCTCTACGCTCACGTATCATCCTTTCAATGCAAGCTGACAGTTTTCAGATCTGAATTGAATTCTGGAAATTACAATCATTTTCCGAATTATAAGAAAATGGCTGAAAAATTCAACAAAACTGCGATTAATTTCAGTTATGTAGAAAAGCTAGATATTTTGATTCAATCTTTTCAAAACAGATTTTCGGAGTTTAAAAAAGTGAAATCTCTGTTGGACATATTCAGCAATCCTTTTACGATTTCAGTTGAAAATGCGCCAGAGTCAATGCAGTTAGGAATTATCGACATTCAAAACGACCAAGATTTACGCAACAAATTCAACGAAGGAGACTTGCTGAACTTTTACCGCTGCATTGATAAAAATACGTACAAAGATTTGCGCATAAACGTTCTGAAATGTGCCAGCTTACTTGACCTAACCTATATATGTGAACAAACCTTTTCAATACTAAATAATAATAAAGCAAAAAATCGAAACCGCTTTGCAAATGAAAGTTTGGAAGCAGTTTTACGTGTTGCTACAATAAAATTTGAGCCAAATATAAAAAAGATTGTAAGCACTATGCAGTGCCACGCTTCAAATTAATAAATTATTTTTCAATTTAATACATTATTATCAATTCTTAGGTAATTAAAGACAATAAATGTCTTTTATTACCTATACTTCTGGCGGCCCGCCATCAGTTCATAATTTGCCTGAGTGGCCCCTAGTCTTAATAAGTCTATGCATCACTGGTATACGCAGTCCACCTTTATTCACTAACATACGTACGTTTCCGCTCGTGTTCACCGTAGTCTATTATTTTAACCGTTATAATTGAATAAACTTTCTGAAACAGCTTATGTACTCTATATCATAAGCTATACAAAAGAACGAGTTCAAATTTGCTTTTAATTTTTCCTGCTAAAATGTAAAATTATTTTACCTCAATCTTATTAACGTTTATTATTTCATTATTACCACGTTCCCGTTAAATGCTTTCTTTTCTGTTTTCTCCAAGTTTTAAATTGCAATTAATTTAAAGCCAAGTTACTGATGGAGTACAGGCTTGAGACTTTAAATGAAGCTCAGAACTGGTTGACATAACAATATTAGCTTTTCTTGTGCCTATTACCTATATATTTTCTACTTGTTTCGGCGGTTTTCCGCTTAACAGCAGTGCGTACACTGTGAGGACTAATATTAAATTTTATACGTGATAGAGCCATACTGCAGCTATAATATAGTTATAGCACGAATAGGTCGGCTCGACAAGGGAAGGTCACGCTCTCACAGCATACCGGCGTAAAATAGCAGCTTAATTCTGTTATTTGACCCTTTTATTGGTAACCAAGCATTCCATCTTAGTCCTAAGGATTGATGTAGATGTCTATGAGCCACAGCATCCACTAACCATTAAGTGGACTATGTGCTCGTTTGTTACGCTTATTCTATAAAAAATACCTGTCAGCTTGTAATTTTTATTTAATAGGTGGTCTAGTAATCATTGTAAACTATGTAGTAGGGTTGCTTTAGTGTTAGGTCTTTGTCGGGGTAGGTATCCCTTCTCTAACTCTAAACTATTTCTACCAACAAATAGCAGTGCTTTCACTGATCCGGTTTGAAAGGTATATAGAGCCAGTGTAATTACAGGCTGTGAGGCATTCCAACTTAGTCCTCAGAGGTGACGAGGCATGTAGCCTTCTTTGTTTGAAGTTGGCCGCAGCTGTCCATGGACTGCAGTAGCCACTTACCATCAGGGGACTATAAGTTCGTTTGTAATTTCAGTAAGGACTTCTATTCAAAAATACTAAAAGCGTAAATCGAGTAACACAAACAAGACTAAATTCCATTCTACATTTACATTCCATCTTAGTCCTCAGGGATGGCAACGCATCTGCGTTTCCGTTCGGTCGGCCACAGCACCCACTTACCACACAGGTGGACTGTGTGCCCATTTGTTACGCTTACCTACTCTATAAAAATCCTAAGTATAACTTACGCTATTTAAGATGATTTAACTAAATTATTTTAACTTGGAAGAAACCTACCTAGATGGACTCCTAAAGCCCAGGGACCTAATCCAAAAAATCACCGGGTAAACCTAGATTTACTAGCTCTTCTGGTATTACCCGTTATAGATATAAACTGAATGCATCCTACTAGTGACATTATTAACTAAATGAAGTGACAAACAAACATTCAGTCCATGTGATGGTAAGTTACCACTACAGCCCGTGGACACCTGCCATCAACTTCAAATAAACAAGGCTACAGAAGTTTTTCCATCCCTAACGAAAGACATTTAATTTCATATCTAATAATAGCATCCTCAATTATCAGTACTTATTGGCTCTGGGTTTACCAAACCGATTGCTAACTAAGCCCTTGTGAAATTGCAGTCCAGCATGTGTCCAGCGGTGGCTATAAGAATACCAATATAGAAGGAAAAAATCAGATATGTGCTTTTTTACTTAATTATAAAAAATGTTTAGTTATTATACCCACATAAAAATTCGCCTTATATTAGCAACTCTACGTATGTAAATATAATAACGAGCAAAATTAATATTAAAAATGTACTAAGGTAACTTTCTTTCTTTATATGATACCTATGCGATTGTTGAGTTTTTTCTCAACAAACGCGAATAATAAAAGAAAATGATATAGGTATAGAACTTGTGTGGCGCAAAATGCGAATAAAAATGTATTATCGAGAAAGCTGAAAAGATCCTTCACCTACAAGCTGTCGCTCAAATTGCAAAATCTCTAACATCAGCATAAATAATCCGCAGACAAAAATAGTGAAAAAATGCTGGAGAAACTTGAAATATGTATATTAGATTTCTATAGAATAAATTCTTATTAGAGTGGTTGTAATATGTAGTTCGAATTACATTTATTAAAAACAAAATTGCTTGTTTTGAAAAGTCTGGACTTTTAACAAAAAAACCGACAACCGTGTTTCATAACACTATAACACTAACTTCAATTCGGCATCAACCGCCGTCGTGAGTGGATACTGTATCGGTTGTTTGCAGCCGCTCAAAAAGATCGCTGTACAAATACAAAATGTTCGAAAAATCAAATTTGATACATATTTGATTATTATAATAATCAAAGATTTAAATTACAATATTTTAAGGCACAGAATAAATAATAGTACTACGTACTAAAAGTAAGTAGGACGTATATATTAAAGTATATTTATACTTAAATACGTCTTGGACTTAACGGAGTGACAGTAATGATGATATAATGATCATATGAGCATTATGAGTCATGTAATTTTGGATTTTCCAAACATTTTTAAATTGAAGTTTGACATAAAATTATTGAAAAATTTGAAGAATAATATATGTATGAAGGTTATCAGTGAAAATTTGTGTGTATTTAAACTACTTCAAAAACTTACGTACAATCATTTTATACGTAATTTTTAATGCGCTTAGGGCATGCACAAGTGGATTTACTAATAGTTTTTTTTTAATATACCACATTTTTATTATTCCTACATTGTCATCCGATTTTTAGTTATGCTCAAAATTTCAAGAGTCTAGCTCATCGGGAAGTTGGTTAAAAATCAATTAGTAAATTCATCCTGACCAAACATATACGAAACCGAGTTAAAATAATTAAAAATTAAAAATTTTGTACTGCCGACTTCAATATAAGTTATTAAGAATAACTCAAAAATTATTGGTCTGACCTTGATCAAATTCATATGGGACCACACGAGATGTACCAGCTTTCAAATAAAAAAAAATCATCGAAATCGGTTCGCCCAATAAAAAGTTATGAGATAACACATATAAAAAACATACAGTCGAATTGAGTACAGTCTCCTTTTGGAAGTCGGCAGAAAAACATGGTAAAATAGTTTGTCTCAATCGTCACAAACTTGAATGATACAAAATTGTAATCACAGCCATTTCTTCGCTATTAATAATATAATCCTTAATTCATACCAGCCTATCAAAGTGCATTGCTGAACATAGGCCTACCTTAGAAACAGCCTCATAAGGAGGAGTTGCCATAGTACTAGTTACCCGACTGCCTCAGAAAGATGGTAAAGTTTTTGAAGTGTATATAGGTATGTGTGTTTGTCTATTTTTTTGGCACGCTCTGTAGTTTAAATTGTTTGATGGATTTTAACATATGTGGTTTCATTAGAATTGCCTTAGTTGTAAAAGTGATCTATGATATTTTTTCCTTTTCACTAAAGTCTCTTACTTTTGAATTTTATTGAATTATTGTTATAACACCTTCGCGTGAGCAACGTCTTACAACGTCGTGTTGATAGAATTATAAAATGGCGCGACGTCATAGGACGTCCTCTAGATTGGCATATTTATTTCCGCGGATGAACGTTGAACGCTGACACTGAAATTATATTTGTTTTACAGAAGAGGGCCATAAGAGCAATTTATGATTTAAAGCCTAAAGAGTCGTTGCGAAAAAAATTTAAGGAAATTAATATATTAACTTTGGCCTCTCAATACATTTATGAAAATGTAATGTACGTACACAAAAATAAAAGTAGTTTTACAAAAATAAGTGATATTCATTCTGTAAATACTAGGAACAGACACAAGCTAGTAGTACCAGTTACTCGACTCCATCGAGTCAGTAATTCATTCTTGTATACGCTTTTACAACAAAATTCCAGAAAATATACAAAGTTTGATCTGCTCAAAGTTCAAAAAATTTATTAAACTAAGTTTGTATAAAAAGGGCTATTATAATATTAAGGAATTTATGGATGATAATAACCCCTGGAAATGAGGTGATCGCTACCAAGCTATTTCTAATTTATTGTGTTGTTAATTTGTGTAACATCATGATTGTAAGCTGTTATTTTTTTTTAAAAAGTCCCGCTGGGTTTCTTGCTGGTTCTTCCCAGGACAGAGGTTTTTTCCTGACCAGTGATAATCAAACAAAAGAGTGACTTTAAATAAGTTTTATTTATAATCTATATTGAATAAAAAAGTTTCTGTTTCTGTTTCTGTCGTTTATTGTGGTATATCGGACCTGCGTGGTGGCGGCAATGTTTATAAACGTCGGGTCTGAAGAAACGTTGCGCCACATAAAACAGTTCTAAGACATACGTATTACGGCGGGACGTCTTGAGACGTTGCTTAACTCTGTATGGGAAAAAGTACAAACATTACACCGCCGCAGTACAAACATTTACAGATGAGGTTGCTCACGCGAACGTGCGGTTGGTCTTGTTTCTTATTCTATTTGCTAACCGCTCTAGGCGAGTTGGCAATTAAAGACTTTTATTTTCTAGTCGATATCACGTAAAAGCTGTTGCCCATCTGTAGTGTTTGCATATATGTAGTATACAGTAAATATTGTTATTTGTTTTATTTACTAATAATTTACCATGCACAAATACACAAACATACAATACATATATAAATATATATAAGTCACTGTCTCCGAGAGCACCGCGTCAGTTACACGAGAGCCTCGGGCGAGAGTGGACGTGTTGTTTAGTTAAAGTGCGTGCCGAGCCTGTGATACACTACAGTGGTTAGAGAAGATAGCAGACATTACAAGTGGCGACGAGGTAAAAGATAAGTACCTATTTAGGGTCATTG